ATAGAACTACAGCAATAACAGGAAAATAATCTTTTTCTTTAATGGAACCTGCTGTTCCATTGTAAAAATAATGGATGTAGGCTTGAAAACAACTCAGCAATTTAACTAGTAACAAAATGTGCAGGACCCAGCAGCCATTTTTCCTGCTACAGATTTACTTCCTTAATTCAAATATTGTCTGCTATTAGAAAGAATTTTGCTTCTTATTTAAAATACCAACAATAACAAAAGCCAATTGATTTTTTCTTTAGTAGTAATGGATTCATTCTCTGCAAAAAAAACCTTAGCTGAAAAATAAGTTTTTATTGTTCATAAAAACTTGTTTGGCTAAGTATCTTGGAAGGGGAAGTGCAAAGAAGAAGAAGAAACTGCTTAATAAAGAGCTAAAATCTTGAAAACTTTGTAACATTTTGTAGGGATCGGTCTTCATCGCACTGATCCATGCTATTAAAACTGTATACTATTTAGTCTTTTTAATGTGATTGCTAGCAGCAATTTATGCATCATTAGCCAAACTGCCACTTGATTTATTACATACGAAGATACACATTCACCGGTTCCCATCATTCTGCTCAGCAGCAAGATCAGAGCCAGCTGACAAGAACTCTGAACTTCAGTATTGAGTGAATGAACTTCCTTATTAACATCGCAGCAGGTATTGGACAGAGATTTGTGTGGAATTATTGAATGAAAGAGGTCCCCCATTATGATGTACTCATCTATTGGGAGGAGTACTGAGAGTTTATGACAATAATGTGATTGCTTAATCCTTAATGGGCCTTTGCCTGGGTCAATAATTTTGGTGACTATTGTTGCTGTTGTTAGTGGTGGTGGTTGCACAGTCAGCCAGATGTTTAGATTGGATTTGGCATTTTTGTCACGCATCAAGTCCTTCTGAAGACCTGAGATAGGTTGCTGTTTCATGGTGTTAAAAGTATTGTCACAGGGTATAAGCTATTTCAAGTAAGCTGTAATTTTGCCATTGACTGATGGTGATTTTGGCAATGCCATTACTGCTACTTCCATGTCAGAAGCACCAAGGCACTTCCATGGTGAAAGGAGGGGCCCAGTTGAGTGCTCCTTTCACATCCCCCTTAATGAGCCCACAAAAGTGGTACCTATTTACCTATTTGCATTTGCATGCTTTTGGACTGCTAGGTTGGCGGGACTGTAGCAAATGACAGCAGCACTCAGGCTTTGAATCCAGGCTTTCAACATTCTAACCACGTGAGCCACTGCCGTCCTTTGTCAATGGAGTGATGGAGTTCAAGTGGCAATTTAGATATTTTGGAATTGGACCAAAATTGCCTATTACTACTGGTACTATTTTTGCTTCCTTTTGCCACAGTCATTCTACCTCTATTTGCAGGTCTTTGTATTCTGTGATTTTCTCCAGTTCTTTCTCTTTTATTCTGCCATCTCCAGGTATTGCAGTGTCCACTATCGAGACTTTCTTTTTAATCTTTCTTATCAATGATTGTTAAATCTGGGGTATTATACTTGTCTATTTGAATTTTAAAGACCCACAACACTTTCACATCTTTATTTTTTGTTACTTTGTTTTGTGGTCCCATCAGCTCTTGCATGCGGGCAAGTATTTCTTGTGGCTATTCCAATGCATCATCGTTGCTCTTGCATGCCATTATTGGTAATCAGTCTGTGTGATCTTCTTGCAATTATTAGCATTATGTGAGGAATAGCAATGTTACAGAACTTTATGTTGCACAGAAAAGTCTCAGTAGACATTGAACTTGCCCTGCCTCCTAACTGTCATTCTTGCCACCTGGTTGCTGAACAGATAGAATAAATCAAATACAGCAGCTTACATAGCATGTTATCATCTTGAGTGTGCCTGCCACATCCCTGTTTTGATGTGAAACAGAGAAGTGGAATGAAGCATTTCTTATTGGACAGCAGGTGTGTCCTGACCAGTGGAGAATAATCTGGGTAAAATTTATTGGTTAGGAACAGCAAGTTCTGATTGGCTGTTCCAACAAGCATTATAGATTTGAAAACAAATAATTCTATCCCAAAGCATTATGGTGGTTACGTGATTGTGGAATGAAAGGAGATGGGTGATGATGGTCTCTTAAAAGTGTCCATCTACAAGTATCTAAATGTTACCAGTGGAGGTGGGTGGGTGCGTTCCACTTTTGAGAGCAGATCTACTTTTATGGAACTTGACATTAAGAAGCAAATATTTTGAGCTTTTGACAGCTCTCAACTTTCTAACAACTGAAGAAGAGTGAGTAAAGAAAATGGTCAAGGAACACTCTTATTTGATTTTAAAAAATAGAACTAGAAGAACAGATAAGATGATGATGACAAAACATAGGAAAATTGGGAGATCAGAGAGTTCTTAAAAATGTTTATTTCAGTCATGACATCCTTTGACTTCAGGTTGTGCCCCGAAGCCTTTCATGTCTTTAAAGCAGAATGCATTTGCCATGAATCTTTCATTGCTTCCTTTCCAAAACAAACAAGTCAAGGCTTTCACACTGAGACAATTAGACAGAAAACTTTGCAGAGTCTTTCCTCTGTCTCAAGGGTTTTTTTCTCTGAGACCAGCAGAAGTAAGACAGGGGTGTTGTCATTGCTTAAGCATGCCTATGATCCAGTACTGCTGCTCAGTTAACCTTGGACTGCCTGTATATGCATTCTTGCAAACTCACTGAAGTTAGTTCCTCTAGAAGTGGTAAATAAGCAAACAATGGGAAGGCTACTCTCAGAAAAGGTACAACAGCAGGGATGGACAAATATTTTTGTCCTCTTTTGTTTGGCATAGTCAGAATGAAGGATCTCTGGTGCTCTGATGATGTTACCTAATTTGGTAATGAAACATCTGCAAGAAAGCAACCAAGCTCAGAGGGCACCAAGGGCCCCTCATTTCAACCCTGAACTACAAATGATCTCTTCTATTGATATATTGAATTGTTTATCATCCACTTTTTAATGCCCTCGTAAGGGGAATTATCCCAACAGAAAAAAAGCTACTGATTTTCAAAAGGAACTTCCTTTGATTTATTTTTATCCTAGAGTATCTCACAGGAAACATTTGATCTTCAAAGTCATATCATGTTNTTGAGCCGGTGAGATTAGAACCGCTGAACTGCAGATAACAGTCAGCTGAAGTGGCCTGTAGTACTACACCCTAATCACTGCGCCACCTCGGCTCTAATGATCCTTGAGTGGTAGACATAAACCTATTATTTCCTCATTAATATGCAGATTTTTCCTTCATGTACCTAGCTTCAGGGTTGCAATAAATTTGAAATTCTTTCATGCTTGTGATGCTACTCTGGTTCATCATGATTCATGACAACTATGGAACAATTCTGGTTCAAAACCAGTCCAGAAGTGGCAATCTCTCATAACCGAGAATGAAAGAGGTCCTTGAAATGAGGAGGAACTATGAGGGAATTGAGCTAGAAGTCTTGAATCATGCAGAGTTTCTGCCAGAGAAGCCTCTCAGTCTGAACCATTCAACCAATTCTAAATCATAACACGGTTCTATCAACTCCACGATATTCCAACCTAAATGTGCATTTTTTTGTCTTCTCAAAGAAACCGTCTTACCTGGTGAAATGCATGTGCCCTTTCTCCAAATTATCACTCCCTTTGGAACTTGACCCATGCCCTGGCATTCTCTGTTTCCCTCTAGCTATGCTGAATTTCAGCTGCAGCTTTGGTCACTTGATACCTTGCTTGCCTGTTATTGCTTGCACAAATTAACTCTTCTTTTTGCTATGGGCTGCCCTATTCACCTCTGGCCTCACTGGACTGAGATCTAGTTCTCTCTGAACTTTGGCTACATAGAATCTGACCTGGGTGAACCCTTGAGAGAATGGCTCTTCATACAAGACACAAAGCCATACTGAGGTTTGTTTGTTCTTGGCTTGACTGGATGTGCAAATATCACACATTGTAGTTTAGCCAGAGGTGTGAATCAGCCCCTAATTATTTGTTGACCTGTGGTTAAAAATATTCTGGCTAAACACTTCTGTGAAGCAGCCAACGTGTGATGCTGTTGCCTGGCCCAGATCCTTTGAACATCATTAAGCAATTTTGCTTATAATTCCAGACTTCTTTGAGAGAAGAGCCAAGCAGCTTAATTTGGTCTGTCATAATGGAACTCCTTTGCCCTGAAAGCACTTAAAAATAGTTTTTTAAGTGACAAGCCTGGTGTTCCAGGCTACAGTCCTCTTCCTTTGCAATTGTCCATTGCTCAGAGGAATGATCCAGTGTAGCAGGGGTGGGTTCCTGCCAGTTCTAACCTCTTCTATAGAAGAGGTTCCACAAATCTACAGTGCCATTTAGAACCGGTTCCAGCTCCCTCCCCCTGCTCGTTCGCATATCATCAAGACGAAGAGCGAGAGGAGGAATTCTGGGAGTTGAAGTCCACAAGTCATAAAGCTGTCGAGTTTGGACATCCCTGGGAGATTTTTTTCTAAAGGGTTAGGGATGCAAGGGTCTTGTAACTGGACAGCTTTAAGACTTGTGAACTTTAACTCCCAGAATTTCTCCTCTTGCTCTTCATCTTGATGATATGCAAACGGACAGGGGGAGGGAGCTGGAACCGGTTCTAAATGGCACTGTAGATTTGTGGAACCTCTTCTATAGAAGAGGTTAGAACTGGCAGGAACCC